ACTCCTGCTGCTGAGAAAGCTTTTTTGATGTCGTTATGCTTTGAATGGCAGTGAATTGAATTGCCCTTCCTATGGAGCTTACTATGCTGCCTTTCAGATGTCTCTGATTTCTATCTTGCAGGGTGATTTTTTTCCAGGGAGATCAGGGAGTCACACAATTTATTTAAAACTCCTGCACATTGTCAGACAAAGGCAAAGGATGCTTCAACTTGAATATTCTTTAATTAACTCCAGAAGATTGACAGAAAAAATCAGTGAGATATTCTTAGCACTGACTGGGGACTCTTAATGAGTCAGTATTGTGGCATTACGTCACAACCTACAGACAAGTTGTGAAGTGCTGTAAAGCTGATCTTACTAAAGACAGGGATGTGGGGTGTTCAGGATGCTGATGATCCTGATGTTTGCTGCTGATGTGCAGATTTGACTCTCTTCCAAGCACAAGGCAAATTCTATCGATCTCCAAAAAAGGTAGTGCAGATTTTATTAAGATTTTCCCAAATTTTTAGTTAATCTGCACAGAGAAAATCATGTCCACAGCTCAGATTTCCAGATTCTGCATGTAAGAGAATTCACTAGCAGCACAGGGATTTGCTTTTCTGCAGTGCAGGTACAGAAAATCCTTTCACATTTTCTAAGTTGAAGAATGTGTTCGCTTTGGTACAATCAGCTACCTCTGAATTATGAGAACTATTGTTTAGTAAGGGGATGCTGGATTGGTTGATTCTTCATCTGGTGTATCTATTATCACAGAAATGAACACAACAAAGCAACAGGTGTTGGAGAGCTGTGCAGTGAATCGCATTAACAGGCTTCAACATTTTCTACAGTTGCTTAAATTTTAGTGATTGAAAAATTGGCCAGCAAGAAGTTCTATGTTCTGTGAAAAAATATTACCTACATCTTAATTACACTTTGCTAGATACTTTCTCTCCTCCAGTATATCATTCGTTATTATATTTTCATGTATTTAGGATTCATTAAAACCAAGTTGTAAGAAATAGTATGTTTGAGTTAAATAGGTTTAGATTCACCATTCTATGATCTTGAGTAATTTTCTTAGCCTATTCTGTTTTTTTAAATCTATCTAATGGAAAAGTTATGTGTATTTGTTTCATATAATTGCTTTGAGATTTAATTGGATTATTCATGTAATGTCTTTATACTTAGTACTTGAAATATGACATTTTCACTGCATGTATGTTAATATGTATGAATGAAATTTGACTTTCTATAAAACCTGACATTGCTTTTTTCTCTATGATGAAATGGGGAAGCCACAAAGACTATGGCATTTTACAGGTGGCAGCGACTTTTCTACTTCCAAACTACGTATGTGTTGATGTCTAAAATGAAAAAGTTATATAAATTAGTATCCTCGATTTAAACTCATGAAAATCATTTTTTTGGAGATACTGTTAAAAATTGGCTTGAAAGTAAGTTTGGTATTTTATATTCCAACCAAGATAACAGCATGTAAATTCTTATAAAGTTAAGTGTACCTTTAATTAAAATATTGCTGAAGGACATCACTGTGGCATTACAGGCCAAGCAAACCTCCCCCTGTGATGCCAGTATGCCATGTGAGTCTCGTTTCATGTTCCAGCTGCTCCATTTCAGAGCTAGCTCCCTGCTAATTCACCTGGGAAAGCAGCGAAAGAGGGCTCATGGGATTGGGCCTCTTCCATTCACCTGGAAGGCCTAGACAAAGCTCCTGGCTTCAGTCATTTAGAAGATTTCCCCTGTGTCTATCTCCTTTCAGATAACTGTAACTCTACCTTTGAAATAAATAAATAAAACCTTTTAAAAATTATAAACTATTACTAAAATATTTATATGTGGGAAAATAACATCTCCCCCTGCCCACCCCACCAGGCTATGATGCTTCGGTGCCAAAAAGCAAACACTCGTAAAAGTAAAGAGTCAATCTTAGAATGAGAGAAACTGTTTATAAACTACTCATCTGATAAAAACTTCATATCTGAAATACAGAAGGAGCTCACAACATCTGGAATATATTAGGAGTTGAAGAAACCCAACAACAATGACTCAAACACTCCAGTTAAGAAATGGACAAGGGACGCCAATAAGCATGCTTCGAAGCATAAATGCAAATGGCCAGCAGACACAGGAAGAAATACTCAGTGCCACTATCCGTCAGCGAAATGAAAGTAAAAGCTACAATGAGGTTTTATCTCTCCCAAGTCACTATGGCTATCATTCAACACACACACACACACACACACACAATCGAAAAATCCACCAACAAACATATAAATTCTGACAAGAATGGTAGTAATGTAAAACTAGTACAACTATTATGAAGGACAATATGAAACTTCCTCAAAAGTCTGAAAACTGTTCTGCCATATGACCCAACTATACCGCTCCTGGGAATTTATCCAAAAGACATGAAATTAGCATGTGAGAGCTGCATGTTCCTTTATCTCTACACCAGCTCAATTCACAAGAGCTAAGACACAAAGTCAACCCAAATATTCATCAACTGATGAATGCATAAGCATTGAATATTAGCTAGTTATACAAAAGTGAAATCTTATATGTAACAGCAAAAATGGGTACAGCCACAGATTATGATCCTTAGTAAAATAAGTCAGTCTTCAAAATATAAATATTACATGTTTTATTTCTTATGTGGTAGTTAATATAGACTACAAATTAAACTCCTAATGAATAAGAATGAAACTGACAGTTTATAATTTGATTATTGGTCTTAATCCTTGTCTATATGTCTATAAACAGTAGTCTTTACACATTTTACTTGCTGAATATTCTGAATATTTATGAGATACATAAAAGTACATAAAATCTATTCTTTAATAAAAATTTTAATAAAAATTAAACATAAATCATGTCATCAATAGATTTCAAAAGTCAGTAGTACACCAACATGTATAGATGCTTTATTGTGCAGTTATAGTGAAATATCGCAGAGTTCTGAGACATAGCTGATGTGTATGTACAAGAATACCCAAGCTATTGACTTTAAAATAAAAGTAGTAGGGCCTGGCGGCATGGCCTAGCAGCTAAAGTCCTCTCCTTGAACACGCTGGGATCCCATATGGACGCCGGTTCTAATCCCAGCAGCCCCGCTTCCCATCCAGCTCCCTGCTTGTGGCCTGGGAAAGCAGTTGAGGACGGCCCAAAGCCTTGGGATTCCGCACCATGTGGGGGACCCAGAAGAGATTCCAGACTCCTGGCTCCAGATCAGCGCCGTACCAGCCACTGTGGCAACTTGGGGAGTGAATCATCGGACGGAAGATTTTTCCCTCTGTCTCTCCTCCTCTCTATATACCTGACTTTGCAATAAAAATAAAACTTTTTCTTTAAAGAATAGAAATTCATGAAATAGGAAACAAAAGAAGTAGAAGTTCCCAAGGAAAACCAGAGCTAAAAACAGCTGGGATGATCAAACTAATCAAATGTCAAATTTCTTAGTACACTAAGAGAAAAAAAATGAGAGATCAGAGAAACGTTGCTAGTAGCAGTGACATAAACATAGATATTGTAGAAACTTCTGAGAATATTAAGAGAGTGGAAAGATGGCTTTTTTTTTTCTTAAAGGTTTCCTTATTTTTATTAGAAAGGCAGATTTACAGAGAGAAGGAGAGACAGAGAGAAAGATCTTCCATCTGCTGGTTTATGTCCCAGGTGGCCACAACGGTTAGAGTTGAGCTCATCTGAAGCCAGGAGCCTGTAGCTTCTTCCAGGTCTCCCATGTGGGTGCAGAGTCCCAAGGCTTTGGGCAATTCTCAACTACTTTTTCAGGTGACAAGCCGGGAGCTGGATGGGAAGAGGGGCTGCTGGGACACAAACTGGCACACATACAGGATCCTGGCACATGCAAAGTAAGGATTTAGCCAGTAGGCTACCAAGCCAGGCCCAAACCACATACTTCTATAACAACTAAATGTTACTGGAAACTCATGACATATCATTTTGAAGGGTGAAACACTTTTTTAAGTTAGGAGAAAGCTGAGGATGACTAGTCTAAAGATCCCATAATGTTGAAAAATAACGAAGAAAAGCCACACCGTGATGAGTGAATGCAAAGGCTGGATAGTGCCAAGTCCAAGTCCCGAGGATTAGAGGTCAATATTGTCAATTTTATATAGAGTAGCTTCTATTCATCTAATACCTACTCATCTCTGGGTCATCGCTGATTGCTCAAATATTAAGAGATCTTCTGAAGTGCCCTAACTAATCATTTAGCTACTGGAATAGCTTTAGGATAAGGTAGACAAAGCACATTAGTGAGTTCTTATTGAACAACCTTCACCTCCTCTTTCATTTTCCACAAGGAAATTTTCCAGGGGGAAATAGAAACAGACCAGTGTTCGGAGAGGAGGTGATGGATGGGGAGATTTCTGATCTCCCTTCTCTGCTCTCTGGTTTGCTCACAAGATTATTTATTTGATAGGGAATGAGTTATTTCATGGTCATTTAGCTTCCTTGGGGAACAGTGGCCTTGTTCATCCACTGCCCGGGAGCCTGTGAACTCATTTTCCATATATATCTATATATCTATAAATACATGTAAAACCTTGCCAGTTATTCATTAAACAGCTTCATCCGGTGCTCCTTATTTTTATTTTTTTTTTTTTGAAGAGGTCAAACACTGTGGTTAAAATGTAAGTTATTTTAAAAGGAAGCAGAAAAAAGAAAATGCATTAGGTTTATTAAAATAGCTTCTTCAGAAATTTTTAAGAATTTAATCACCTACTGACAAATGACATTGTGAAAAGAAATGTAACGAACCAAGAGACACACACAGGTGTGACTTTTGTCTTGCAAAAATGTTAAATTAAGAAAGACAAATTGGTTGATATTACAAACTTTGAAACTTGATCAGACTATAAAAATCAAGCATAAAATAAACGTGAATGCTCTAATTCCTTAAGACTTCCATTTTACTGTCTAGAAAGTGCGTCTGACATTAATCTTTCCAGCAAGAAGAATTTTCATGTAACAGTACTCACCGTCATCTTTGTCAGGGACAATTGTAATTTGAGCCCCTGGGAACTCAGCTCCCAGTCTCCCACCCATTGGCATACTCAGAAGGACATGGAACGTTTCCTCCTCTTCATATAAAGAGTCGTCAATAACAACAATCCGGCACATCTTCTCCTGCTCATCTTTGTCAAAGCGAACAACGCTGGTGTGGTCCTCAGGCCTGGATATGTAATCCGAGTAAGACAGCACGGAAGTTGGCACAGTTCCAGTTGCTGTCCCTGAAGGTGGTAAGAAGACAAAAGGTTTTAAATGTAAAATGTAACACTATGAAGCATGTCCGGAAAGGATCGTGTGCACAGGCAGCATATTCTTGGTCTTCTAGAGTATAGGCACACTCTGGAATTGCAACAGCAGCTACATACAGGCTGTTCTAGTACTGGGAGTCAACTGCACCGCGTCCTCAGGCCTACAATGAATAACACATTTCAAGTGCTTCCTCTGGACTTTCTTGTCAATCAACCTTCAGATCAACACAATAGTATAAAATACTACCTCCTACTACTCAAGGGCTTGCTGTGTATAGGCAACATGCCAAGTGCTTTATATACTTGCATCATTAATCTTCTGTTAACCGCTACATTGAGTTTTACATGCTTGGTAACTGAAGGTTGCAGAAGTTAAAGGCCATACACTATGGGATTCAGAGTCCAAAACTATTCTATTTTAAATCACTAGGCTGTACAATGTTTGAAATCATATAGATGTGGAAATTTTAGCAAAAGTCAGCTCAGAGGTTAACAGCACATACAGCTTTCTTGTGTGTATATTCTTCAAAATTCTGCTTATTTCCTGAACATACATTTAGTATATTATTATTACATATTCATTTTAATTTGCATTAACTTGTACTTTTCATGTTTATCCAGGAACAATGTAAATATTTTGAAATTTGTTTCAAATGAGAGTCAAACTAATTGTATACCAGTTTATTATTTTATCTATTTTAACTTTATCTAAAAGGCAGAAGGTAGAGAGAGACACAGACAGTCAAAGACAGACTTTCCATCTACTGGTTCACTCCCAAAATGCCTACGGCTGAGCCAGGCTGAATCTAGATCCCAGAAACCAATCCAGATCTCCCATGGACATAGAAGGCAAGGATCTAACCTGGTGGCTAGTCACCCTGTGTCTAAGGATGGAAGCTGGGATTGTAAATAGATTTGGGACTCAGAACCTCAGAGCACCTTGTCTGGGAGGTGCACCAAGCAGTGTGTTCACTGCAACACAATGTACCAGTTCCTGAACAATCATTGTATCATTGTGGGTTTAGCCTACGCCTGAAACACAGCCATTCCATGTAGGCAATATTCCCCTCAACTCCCTGGCTGCTCCACTTTCAATCCAGTTCCCTTCTATGTACTTGGAAAAAGCCTGGAGGTCAGCCAATCCCTGTACCCAGTGGAAAACCAGAAGAGGCTCCTGGCTTCTGGCTTAAGCCTGGCCCAGCCTTGGCCAATGTAGCCATCTGGTGAGTGAGCCGGACCCCCCTCTCTCTGTTTCTTTGTCTCTTCCTCTCTCTCTATATATATCTGTCTTTTAAAGAGGAGGAAAAGGAGCAGCAGCATCAGCAGTTGATAAACATCAACATTAATCAACATCATAGATGATAAATATACCAAACAACAAAAAACAAAATCTCTCCCAAAAAACAAAATCCTCCAAACTCGATTTCTTTAGATATACAGTCTTTTTCCCTTTCCCTTTCATTCCCTCCATCCTTCCTCTTTTCCTTACTTCCTTTTTCTCTTCTCTCTCGCTCTTTCTTTCTCTCTCTTTTTAGGAAGCCAGTCACTCCTTCCTGCTTGATCAGCCTGAGCTGGTTTCAGTTCTTTTTGGATTGCAACTTGACCAAATGAAGTAATCAAAGGCCAAGGATCTTTCAGAAAAGTACTCAAAGTTGCAACACTAAACGAAGCCTTCTGGATAAATGTCCTATATATTTACAAAAATCTAATAAATGCATCTTGTAGGAGCATATTATGATTTCAACATATTAAAGAGGTTTACTTATATCTTTTGAGGGAGAGCTTTAGTTATTTATGAACTTGAGTTACCTTGTTGGGTATAACAGATCACCATTAACTCCCGGCTGACATCTCCAGTTCTCCTGATGGGAATAAACAGTTCACCAACATCTTCTTCAACAGAGTATTCAGAGTGGGGAATAAACACAGTTGATTCTAAGAAGAGGACATACACACATTGTTATTGTAACCTTCGTTTGAGCTTCTTATCTGATCTAATCCTTTAAAATTAAATCCCCTAGTGATAGTTAATGCATATTTTCCTAGACTAATAGTGTGAAGGCAAGGGGCTGGGGGGAAGTAGGTTTAAAGTATGCCAGGCCCTGGGACAGTCAATTGCCAAAACTAGAAATAAAACTCAACTTCTTCATCGATAGGTGGAATAACAATAACAGTACACATATAACATTATGGTAATATAATGCTATATGTTTCAACAATTTATTTTTAAGTTCTTTGAAAGGCATGCTATTTAACAAAAATGCCCTAATTGGATTTCTAAAAGATCCATGTAGCTCAATAGTTTGACACTGAAAACCCCAGATATTCTGCTTTTCGGAAGTTTGTTTCTCAGAAAGTCCCACATCCACACAGAAAGCACTTTATATGATTAGTTTTTAAACAGTTAGCTCCACTGTTTAGGATAATAATAAAAGATGCTGAAGCAGCGGATACAGTTCCCATAGGTCACACTCCACCCTGCTCTTTGCTCTAGGAGCAGACTATTGGGAACGACATCAAAAGTTTCTGTTGTACTCTGGCCTCTGCCTGGGGGAGCCAAACAGAATACAGGAAGGAGTATGGAGGGTGAGAGCAGAGGGAGGTTGGGCAATTATTTCTTGGCTCTCTGAGATGTCCAGAGCTGGCCACACTTCCCAGCTCATGCTGGAAGCTCAACCAGTCCCTCTTCCCCAGACCTCCACAGGCCCGGAGGTGGTGCAGGTTCCCATCCTCACTAGTCACGGGGCACTCTGTTGTTCCTTGGAAGTTACAGATTGTTGCTGACACCTTTATAAAATAGCCACAAATCACTCATTTTGACTGTGCCACTTGTTTTCTCCTGGAAGATGGATACACTAATTTTTAAAAAGTTCCTATTAAAAAAAAACACCTGTAAATATAAGATTTTAGACATATTCATTTAGAAAACATTTTGTGAGTGTCTTAATTGTAATAGGTACAAGTGACACAGATGTCAACAAATTCTTCATCTTTCTGGAATCATTATGATAGATGTGAGGTTAGGAGAAAGAAGAAGATAAATCAATTAACAAGGAAATGTATAAGGCACAACCCAAATTAGGGGCAACCCATGGTATAGAGAAAATAAGCTGTGGCAAGGTGACAGACAGTGCTGGGGCTGGGCACATAGGGCTATAATACATAAAATTAAGCAAGCGTCTCTGATGGAGGCTTATTCAAACTGAGATTAGAAGGCACAATAAGATGTCCTATTTGAATATGCAAGAGGAGAAAATTTCAGGAAAAAGGACAAGCAAGTGAAAATGGCCTAGGGGCCAGAGCAAGGGCTTGGTGGGCAGCTTGTCTGCCTATGGTTCCAGGATTCCATACAAACATCATTTCTGGTCTTAACTGCTCTATTTCTGATCAAGCTCCCTGTCTGGTGGCTTGGAAGGGCAGGGAGGATGGACTGCCTGGGCTTTGGGGCCCTGCACCCATGTGAGAGTCCTGGAGGGGGCTCCTGGTTCCAAGCTTTGACTTGGTCCACCTCTGGCCATTGTAGCCATTTGGAGAGTGTACTGGTGAATGGAGGATCTCTCTCTCTCTCTTTGTCCCTCTCTTAAGCTCTGACTTTCAAGTAAAACAAATAAGAATACAGAAACAAAAGAGCATCAGGTCAGGTTACCAGATTGCGCCAAGTGTGTACAAGAAAATGCTAGGAAGCCAACACGATACACTGAGCCTAATGGAGTCCAGAACAGTGGTGATGGTGACGGCAACCAAATTACAGAACCATCAGAAATTTGGTTAAGATGTTGTTCTGTACTCTTCACATGCAGAAATAAACAGAGACATCCAAATACGATGAGAACAAGGTGTTATTTGTTCAGAGCTTGCTGCAGCGAACGAATAAGGCATTGATATCACTTGTGATTTAACAAAGACTTAAAGGCAGGGAGAGATGTGTCAGTATTGAGTAATGGAAAAGGAGGAATGTTTGCGGTGTGCTCTTGTTGGAGGCTGAGGGGGTGAGCAACTTGAAGTTGGTTAGCTAGGCTGGGGCATGCTATGGAATTCATTAGTGGGGTGTGTTTGCCTGTCTCAAGCTGATCTGAGATCACTACAAGAGCAAATCCTGCCTATTCATGCTGATCACCCATAGAAGCTTTGGCTTTGCTTCTGGGTTGCTCTAGGTTGTGAATCAGACAGACACTTAAATGCATTCTCTGGATCAGGAGGCAGAAGTAAGGGTGACACGATATGGTTGAGTATAGGATGTACTACAAAGGAACAGGAGAAGATGCTTCTGATGTATCAAATGGGAAATGAGAGAGGAAATGAGAAGATGCTTGGATATTTCCAAGTTCTGTTTTTTTGATCAACTGAAAAAAATGTAGTCAAACTGAAAAAAAAAAAAACATGATTGTGACAGTGAAGAGGGAAAACTGTGGAAGACTCAAACTCAGGTGGAAATTCTGACTTTCTAATAAAAACAAATAAATCTTAAAAAAATAGAATTACCACATGTAAATTCTCATAAGACTTTAACAAAAAGCAGACAAAGTGCCATGGAATTATCAAAATCCCATGAGTTTATTTTCATTAGTGTCACTAGAATTTATCAGTTTTCAGATCATGTACTGCATGGCATTATAGAAAACTATAGGGATATTTATTTATTTACTTCTTAGAGTTCATTATAGAATGAATATTTGTGTTGGAGCATGAATTCCCAATATGATGACATGAGGAGATGGAGGCCTTTGTAAGGTGGTAAGGTTTAAACAAGGTTATGAAGGGGGAGAAACCATCATGGTGCTAGTGCCCTGGTAGGAAGAGGAGGATAAAGATTTCTCTCTGTGAGCAAGCAGCTAGGAAAGGCCGTGTGAGAGTACAGAGAGAAGGCAGCCATTTAACAGCCATAAAGTAAACTCTATCAAGAACAAATCCATTGGCATCTTGATCTTGGCTTCCTCACCTTCTCAAACTGTGAACATTAAATATTTATTGCTAAACTAGTCTCCAGCCATGATATTGTTTTATAGTAGCCAGACTGACTTAGTTAAGATTGAGCATCGATAATGTTCCTTCTACATTGCTGAATTATCCTGATTATTTGTAAGTTATTCATAGAAGTACCAGACATAAATGTTTAACTTAATAGATGTCTTGGGAATGTAAACCTTGAAAACCTGAGAATTGGTTCTTCCTATGCTCTGTAATACTTGCATGGTTGATTCAACAGGCTGGGACCTCCTGCCAGTGCTAGCAGACTTGAATGCTGAATAAAGAGGAGCCCTGGTTGTCTAGCCCATGCCCTTAGCTCTGGAATTTATTCTGACAACTGATCTGGCAGAAGGCAAACAGGCCTAGTGTCAGGTTTAGGCCTTCTGTTGACCGAACTTCTCACTGTGGGAGAAATTAGAAAAGGGTATCAAAGAGACAAAGAAAGCCTTCCCTGGTAGATTTTTCAGTTGACGTTGTTTTTAACTGCACTTTATATCTACAATAGAAGTGCACATGTAGAGTTCCTGAAGGAGGCCAGCTCTTTCAGTGCAGAATTCTTAAAGTGGCATTTCTTTATTGTCCTTAAAAATGATTAGCTAATCCATGCAGGGTTATTACTATTTGCTAAGCACTAGTCCAAATACTTGTACATGTAACAACTGGTTTTCTCCCTGCAGAAACGTTGGCGATAAGAACAGTGATGACTGTCATTTTACTGTTGAGAACCTGGGGCATGTGGAGGTTAAACAAGCAGCCGAAGGTGAGGCTGGGAGGTGTTTATGCTGGGATGTGAACCCAGAAATGCCATCTTAGGGGTCAGGCTCACGATCCTTGAGCTCTCGTGTTGTAGGAAGCACTACCAGGGCAGTGGGTAGGGTCACTCTCATCACAGGAAACGAAAAGTTAAGCACAGGTTATAAGACAGATACCAAGTCCTATTGAGCAGGTGCCAAGTGCATGGGCAACCGCAAAGGAGCTAGCCACACCACAAAGACGTAGTTTTGAGAATTTCTTTAAAGATCCAATATTTATGTCAAATTGATGAATCAATCAATCAATCAATCAAGTGGTATGTAGGCAAAACAATGAAATAAGACGTCAACTCAATAGTAGATGATAAATATCAACTGGCCAAGTTGTGAAGGTATGTCATATGCAAAACATGTAGTCATATATTAGCAGACAGATAAAATATAATACATATTCATCATAGCCAAAGTTTGTATGCCAATTCTTTCTAACATGGTAGAGTGAAAGGCAAGAGCTTCCATGAAGGTGTTTACTGAGCAAGAAAGGGTCATGGTACAGAAACTGTGAACTCGCACTATGTAGGCAGTATCCTGTAGCAGGGAACAGTGGCTGCAGGGCCATCCCTTAAAATAGTAACAACGGTTATTCTATGTGAGAGAATTGCAAAGAACTTTTAAAAGGAATTAATACACTGTATTTTTCTGAGCATTTTAGGTTTATAGGAAAATGAGTAGAAAGCTAGAGAGTTTGCCATCTCTTCTGCTTTCATTGACATCTTTAAACAATTATTTCTTTTTAAAAAACTATGTTTACTAATTTTCATCTTACTTGTAAAGGAGAAAGGAGTGGGGGCGGGGAGTGTTCCTCTGCTAGCTCATTCTCCAAATGCCTTCAAAAAGCGGGACTGGACCAGGAAAAAATCCAGGAACCCAGAATTCAGCCTGGGTATCTCTCGTGAGTGGGAGAGACGCAGTCACCTCAGCTGTTATCACAGAAACCAGGGCTTCCTACGTGGTCTGCAGGTGTCCCACGCGTCATGTTAAGTGCTGTACCTCGCAGCTGTCCCCTTTTAAAAGCTTTTTGAAAAATGTTTCCTGGAGAGGGAAGAGGGTTTCCCCATGGAAGGCAGGGACCCCATCATTTAAAGCATCATCACCACCTCCCAGTTCGCAATGGCAGAAAGCTGTCATCAGTAGCAGAGTTGGGAATTGAACCCAGACACTCCAATATGAGAAGCTGACATTTTAACCACCCATCCACGCCTGTATTGATCGTTTTGACATGGAACATGCATTGCTTTTATCATTTCAGACTGGAGTCTTCTTTACTTTGCAAGAGAACACTGAATAACATCATTCATCAATTTGACTGCTTTGAAATGAATACTTTGTGTGTTTTAGCTGTTAGATTTTGACTGCTGTAACTTTTGTGAAAAATGACTTCTACTCTCTGAAATAAAGCAAGCATGGTTACATTTGAAAGAGAACATTCATGCCGCTCCTTGACTCAGCTGCTCTAGGCACATGAAAAAGCTCCAACAACGAAGCACGTGATGGGACAAAATATCTTTTAAAAATTTACTACAATAGAGTAAGGGAGGGAAGGAAGAGTGCAGTGCACGAATTAGGAAATTAAATGCTCACTGCCTTTAAAAAGTTGGGCACATTGAAAACCAATTCAGAAGTTGTTTTGCAACTTATTCAGGCTACTGTGGTGCCTGTAGCTTGGTTAACAAATAGAAGTGAATGTGGAAGAGTCTGTCACTGATGTGCTCAAACCTGGATAGTTCTTTACACATTTATAAGATTTTTTTTAACCTCCAAAACAGGCAAAATAACATAGATTAATTTTAGTAGAGGCTTGAAAAAGAAACAAATGCAAACACGCCTAAACCACATAATAATACATGTTACAAATTCACATTAAGATATCATGAAGACCAGAAGTGATCTTGGGGTACAATGCAAACGTGGGAGTCAGAGGTAATCTTTGGGAAATTTTTGCTTCTGTTGCTAAATGTCTTTTTTTGCTGAATGTAGGTATTTTCAGAAGTTTCATAAGTAAAGTTATTTTCCTTTGCACTTTTTCCCTATCCACCGTTCAGTGCCAGAAATGATACGCTGTACTAACAAATGGCTGCCATTTTCTGTTTAAAATAATGACTAATGCTTCCTACTGATAGAGTAAAAAAATATAAAAAGTTTCAAATTTCACTGAAATCGAAGACCTTGTGTGCTTTCTTTGTTATTTACCTATTTTATGCTGTATTTTACTATCATTTCATGAATTCTGGACATTGAGTTTTGGCACACTCAGAGAGAAGTTTCAGCTATGCAGTGATCTCTATCAGCACGGACGGTGTGAAATCCCAAAAACAGGAGTGAGTCATTGGATTTCACTCAGCAGTACTCTTACATCTGTAAGATATTTTGTAGCAAGGGTTTGGTTAACTCAGAGCACCCATGTTTGTCTTTTTTGTATTTGTTAATGTTAGGATTTTTTTGAACTACACTAAATTCTATATTTCTTGTAATAATGTTTATTCATTATTCAATACCATATACCATTGATGTCATATGGTTTCATTATAACCAGAGAAGTCAAATACTTAATCTAGTTCGTTTCTTGCAATAATCATCTAATTTATCTTAGAATTGTCTAATCATGTTGAGCCCCACTTAATCTGTTATGATCCTCTTTAGATAACTGATGAGTATTTCATAATCCCAGGATATACAATATCTTGTTGAAGTCCATAGGGGTCAAGAATCTTACTCTGGGCTCATGAACAGGAAGGCAGAAATGAGTTGTAAGAATTTATTCCTTAAAGTGACAAACAACAACTGCACCAATTGACCGATAAAATATCAATAGATGACTCATAGCTGTAACTCATGGATCAAACATAATACAGTTACCATGACAAATTTAAAGAAAAGAGCTTTATTATTTAGTATGCACCCAAAAAACAAGACTGAAATAAAGCTTACTCACTTATATCTAGATAATGTAGAATACAGCACATATGATTACGTTTAATGGAAATGTCATGTAACAGAAATTAAAAGATAATTAAATTTCATATTTAAGTAAAGGCAAGAGATGTCGGCTAAGGAAATGATACAGGAACTCCAGGTTTCCTATCCTCTCCCTTTAATTACACGCAGTCTTTTAACACAGGGATTTCCACATGAGTCTCCATTTCACGTACTCAGTAGATTGTATCTTTGCAGACCATTTAAGAGTTTTCTGACAAAGTAAGTACGTTCGCTGTTGAAAAGAAAGCTGTGTCTGGCTTCTGACAGCTTCAGGAGTCTCTGTATGATTTGTATAAATAACAGCCCTCAAAAGGCTATTCAACCTTTTCCCCCTTAACTAATCAAGACAAGCCAAAACTGTAGAAGTATGGCAAAGGGAGGAAAATGGTCAGATTACATACAAAAGCAAGAAAATTTGCTTTTACTCACACCAGCCAAGGCTGTGCATTGACAAGAAAAAGTAATATAGCAATTCAGAGCCATGATTTAAAACACTCTGTGCAATACAGAATGGGAGTGCTTTGGGGGTGAGTAGCAGAAGGACTGGATGACATGTAACAATCCTGTAAACACACAGCCCACTGAAAAATTTTGGCTTGTCAAAGGTATGGAGGAAATTTGGGTAATTAATTGTTGCATAGGAAACAGTTCATTTAAAAATGGTCAAATTCTTAAACCATTTGTTTAAAGACATTATTTGTTATAAGACATTAAGAAAGAAAGCTTCTAGAAATGATTAAAGAAAAATCAGATGAGCAACACTGGACCAAGGCCAGAGCACAGAAATATAACTAAAAGGTGTGAAGTTAGTCCTTGAAAAATATAACTTCCCATCATTTCTTTCTGGTTTTCCTTTTCCCATCAGAATTTATGAAAGTATCCAATCATTCATCTACAAAGTTCTAACACTTCTGTGAGTTATTTCGTCCTAATCGTAGCAATATAAACATACTGCCAGTGGTACTTACCATCTCCAGGGTCCACAATCTCCACGGTGGTGGCTGCGGGGAACTCCAGAGCGGCCAGCACAGGCTCTGAGAGCAACACCTGGAAGGTCTCCGAGTGCTCATGTTCCCCATCACTCAGGATCCGCACTCGCCACGTGGCCCTCGTCTGGCCTGGGTTGAATTGCACCTGCTTCTGTGCTTTGTCCTTGAAGTCTTTGTCTTTTTGTGCAGTCCCATCTCTTGTGCTAATGCCTTCAAAGAAACATATAATTTTCTTAGTTCCATCTTCACTGGATTAGACATTCCTTGTTCAACATAAAAAAAAAAAAATGACCAGGAGAGAGAGAGACAAGAAGAGAGACAGAGAAACAGAGAAAGAGAAATGAGTGTTCCAGCTAGGCTGAGGCCACAGCTGGAAGCAGGAACTCAAGCTGCACCTCCCGTGTGGTTGGTAGAGACCCAATGATTGGTGTCATCCCCTCTGCCTCCAGGCTCTGATTTAGCAGAAAGCTGGAATCCGGAGTTAGAGCTTAGAATTGAATCCAGGGACCCGCATGATGGTTCAGTAGCTAAATCCTTGTCTTGCACATGCTGGGGTCCCATATGGGTGCTGGTTCATGCCACAGCTGCTCGACTTCCCTTCCAGCTCCCTGCTTGTGGCCTGGGAAGGCAGTAGAGGATCGTCCAAGGCCTTGCGACCCTGCACTTGTGTGAGAGACCCAGAGGAGTCTCCTGGCTCCTGGCTTTGGATAGGCTCACCTTCGGCCATTGCAGCCACTTATGGAGTGAACCAGCACATGGTAGATCTTTTTCTCTGTATCTTGTTTCTGTAAATCTGCCTTTCCAAGAAAAATAAATATATACATTTTTAAGAATTAAACTCAGGTAGTCTGATTTAAGTTGTGGGCAATCTTGACTGATGGTTGGAACACTCCCTTTCTTGTTATTTTTTAATGTATCGTTTCATCCTGCAAAGTCAAGGAAACTATGATTTGATTTTGTGAAGTGGATAACTGACTACGGGTCTGATGATGAAAAGCGTGTTCTACTAGAGCAGAATAATTTCTACTCTAGCCGCAATCTCGGTTTTGCTATATTTCTTTGCGCTAAGTGTTGCTATGACATGTTGTAAAACAGTATTTCATTGTCATGGACTTTTTGAAGCACCCCCAGATTATCCAAAAATCAGGGTGCAAACTCACAGTCATAGGAAAATGATACAACTGTAATAATACTGATACTTTATATCTTTATGTAGGAACCAAAACTTAGCCAGTCAAGGTTACAGAATGATTCTCAAGTACACTGTCTATTGGTATTTTTAGAGAAGAGACAAGGCAGATTAAAGAAAAGAATAAAAAATATTTGTGACTGTTAGCTTTTTAAAATAATAAAATAGATTTGTAACATTTTTCGGCTGAGGAAACTGTAGTTTTGGAAAACTGCTTTAGTTCTTTCAAAGTAGAAATGAAACTAAATCAGGGGCTGGTGCAATAGCATAGCACACGAATCCTCTCTCTGTGGTGCCAGCATCCATTCTGGGTGACAGCTTGTGTCCTGGCTGCTCCAGTTCCCATTTGGCTCCCTGCTTATGGCCTGGAAAAAGCAGCGTAGGATGGCATACATCATTGGGCCCCTGTGACCGTGTTTGGAACTGAGAGCTGGCTTTGGAACAGCCCAGCTCTGGCCATTGTGGCCATTTGGGGAATGAACCAGTGGATGAAGTTCTCTCTTTCTTTCCCTCCCTCCTTTCTACAACTCTGCCTATCAAGTAAAAATAAAATAAATCTTCCAAACAATTTAAAAGAGCTTAACCTATACCAAATGATGACTTATTTTACATAAATTTACTGCGTACTGAAGCATACCAGGTACTGTTGGCACAACAGGCTTTGTCCTACGTTGCGGGTTTGTATCTGAAACTACAAAAACCCTGGTCTCGTACTGCTTACATATAGCAATAACGTCAATACTCTTGATTTGAATATATATCACTGACTATTTAATCTTTACATGAGGGGGGAGATAACAGCTGTATTAGGAATATTTCTGCCATATTTATCTTAGAGAACTTACTGGAATGCCAGTAACATGTTGCATGCAAGTAGGGAAGACGAGGTCCTGCTGAATGTTGCAGGCTTGCTGTTGCCGCCCTGGTTCTTACTGTACTCAGAGTGGAGGTCAGCACCTCTCGGGTCCACCACAGTTTACCACCAGGTGATGATGGAAGGATTCACTCTCGCTGTTCCTTGACCCATCTGTTGGTCGGCCTCTCTTTGGTAGCTATTGCCTGCCTTTCTGTTTCACTCCATTTCCTTGCATTGGAGATGTATTCATTTATAGGAATTCAAAGGGCAGCGAAGAATAAAATAGTAGCAGTATCACATAGGGAATGTCCATTCATTCCAACCAGTCATCCTTACAATACAACAGCCAATCCACCCAGCCTGTGAACGATTAGCTACAATCACAAATCACCATGGTTGCTGCTAAATGCGCCTCTAACTTTTTGGTGGATTTTATAAGAAAGTTTCTGTGAAAATGAAATGAAAAATGGACAATATCTCTGAAATGAGATGACTATTCCATACTCGTTTGACCATTTAACAGCTACAGCATTTCAGACAAGCTCTCATATTCTCTCAGTTGATGAAATTTCAAGGAGGAGTATGTTTCTTTGGCTCATGGTGTGGGTGCTGAAGCAGGATCCCAGCTCTGCCCAGTTTACATGTGTATGTAACTTTGAACATATTTTTAAAAAACATGTATTTCAGAGGTGCGTGTGCGTGCACACACACACACCAACACACACCACACCACACACCACACCATAAAACACCACACACAGTATAACACATATAAAAAAGAGAGCGAGCGAGTGAGAAGATGAGAGATTGAGAGCGTTCTCTGATCCATTGACTCTTATCTCGAATGCCTGCAATAGCTGGGAATCCTCCAGTGAGCTGAAACCGGGAGCCAGGGTCTTAAGGCCAGGTCTCCCACGTGGGTGACAAGGTCTGGTCACTGGAGACACCACTGCTGCCTGGGTTTGCATTAACAAGAGACAGTAGTTGGAATTGGGGTTTGAATCCAGGTTTCCCCACATGGCATCTGGCTGTCTGAATTGGCAACGTAACCCCTACGTACAGGCCAGTCTGGCTGTGTAGCTTTGGACGTATCATGTCTCTGCTACCTCACCTGTGACCGGGGGAATTGAACAGTGCTCTGACCCGTGTACGGTGTTGGTAAGTAAGTTTTGCATATAGTAAGAACTTAGTAATTGTTAGCTGTCATTATCACGTCATAGTCATCACTCAACACAGTGCCTGGCACACAGTAAGTGCTTCAGAAAATACCAGTAATTTCAGGGAATAAGGCTTGTTGTAAGGAATAAGCGAGACAGGAAACACGCTGACTATGCTTAATGGAACATTTTATCTTTCATAGATGGAAATATTTGATACCCAGTAGCAATTAGATCTTTTAAATGCAAATATTTTTGTGAAATACAAACATATATGAAGCTTACTGTAGAATAACACTGGTTGTAAAATGAATAATCATCTTTGCGAAATACATCTTAAATTTCATGTACTGTATAACTGTGTTCATGTGATAGGCCATTCAGTATAAGTGATGTTTCTTCAAATGTGATGCAAATGCTCTCATTCTAACTGCCGGGAAGTGAAAATCAGAGTTTGTATGGAAACATATTCACTGTGGAACTTCTCTGAGGCCATTCTCCACTTTCATGTGACTCCCCTGCCAAGTGCCGGAGAGGTTTCTATCACCATCTTCAATGCCAGAGATATATGGGTCACATACTGCAGTCTTCCTAATTGTCTTCTTCCCCAGGTTACTAAGTAGCCATTGGAAGTTAACCAAGCAAGTTAAAACCTAGAGAGCCTTTCTAGAACCGCTACTATTTCCACATTTGGAGGAAGTCATGGTTTACTGAAAAGAAAAAACACACTTCAAGCAAACGAGCTCTCATTTGACATTTCAGCGTTCAGCTTAGGAAACAAAAAATGGACCAAAGAGAAAAATCCGAAAAGACAGTTAAAAAGTCCTTTTCAACTATTATCTTTCCCAGTGATATCCACAGTTTAGTTGTGAGGGTGAGCTTTGAAATTGACTTCTTAAGACTGAGAACAAAACACAAATAGAGGCAAACAACTTTAATAATAATCGCTAAGGTGCTCTATGGTCACGGCTTTCCTTTTGTTTGCTTTATTTTCAAGCACAAAGCACATCAGGACTGAGATCCCAGCAGTAGCAGGTAAGTCAGATGCTGCCGAGTTTTGTGTGGGCCAAGAACCAGCCCCTAAGGCAGAGCAGGAAAAGCCTCTGCTTCGCCCCACCAGGTTAAATGTAGATAATGAATAGGACCCAGATGCCAGGCGCACAAGGTTGGCAGCAGAGGAGCAGGGGTGCTCACCGGGTCTGCAGCTAGACTAAACCTACGGGGCCAGAGGGGGCTGAAAGTCACTCTGCTCAATAAAAATAACATTTTTAAAGCCAAAAGCAATTCATTTCTATAATCCAAACATATCATGCAAAATTATAGAAATGGCAAAGGTTGTGTCCTGGGCAAGGAAAGTTGGAGTTGAAGAGAGGGAGGGAGGGAGACAAAGAGAGAGAGAGAGAGAGAGAGAGAGAGAGAGAGAGAGAGAGAGAGAGAGAGTTAAATGTTTTTTAAACTTCTGTATCAGTGAAATGTCAGGGTAGTCATCATTTTGAAGACAAAGGCTTAGTAGCTTTTTGTGAGTGTTCTCCTAGTTGTCTAATTTAATTGATAGTCTCATCCTGTTTCAGCCCACACAAATTCAACTGGCCTAACTGTAAAACATATGGCATCAAAAATAATATAATTCCTCGCATCTCTGCTGTTTTTCTGCTGAACACCAAACATTTTGTACCAATTAGATTATTGTTTAAAATGAGCAAACTGGTTTGCTTTCCTTTGTCTATGCCTATATTAAATGAAATGTGAGTGTGAAATAAAGGCTTATTCATGTGTTTTAGACTCAGTTTTAATTAAAAGAAGCAATGCAGAGGAAAATGATGACTATTTAACACTGTTGGCTACAAAAATTTTACAACATACAGCTCACATTGAATTGGCATTCCTGAAGCTTTCAGTGAGCTAACATTGAAATATAATAGTAAATTACACTCAAACTCCTGATCAATTGTTGAATGACTTTTTCCTTTTCGGTATAGATGCTGTACACTGATATTTTAACAGATTGTAATAGGTAAGTTACAGGTCCCTTTATTCCCCTTATTCATTTATTTTTATGTTGTAATAGATGAATGGTTACTGGCAATTTGATAATTGCTTTGTATCAGAGAATACTTTTAGGTAGGAGGCTGAGAAGATCTGTATTATTATGCCAATCTGCCCACCTGTTTCTTTAGCAGTTTAAGAACCTATAAGCACTGAAATCTCCCCAAACTCTTAAAACTAAATCAGTAGTCCTACTGGGATTTTGATCCTGGTAAAAACGTTAAAAACCTTGGCTGGAAAAAGATGTTGAGACAGAAATGGAAACTAAGCTTACTTATGAAGGATGTTTCTCCCAAGTAGCCTCTACGTTTAATGACAACGTCGAGAAATTTGGATTCCTCGTTGATCAGGTAATACTCCTTTTCAAAAGAGATCCATGCCCAGTTCAGACGAAAATGCTGCTTGGTTAACTTGTTTCCACCTGGAAAACAAATAAAGCTTCAATTCAGTGCTGTGTGGAATGAATGGCCTTGGAAATTCTACAGACTACGCGGATGATGTAATATTCAGCACCAACACAGCTTGGTTTGCTCCCCAACTCTTGACTTGTCCACAGAGATGCTGCACAATTACCCAATTTTAGGGTTATAAAAAAACCAGTATGCAAGCTGCAGGATGCCTCCCTAACCACAAGGTGCCGCCAGAAAGCAAGTGTTTTTAGAGGCGTACAAACTTTTCTCTGTGAAGTTTTCCTAAAAGCACACAGCTTTACAAATACCTTTTTCTGGTTCACAGAGCAATTGGAGGGAAGGCTTTAATTATAGTTGCTTAAGGAAAAACAAATACCCCCTCCCCGCCTCCTTTCTCTAGTAGATTCTTCCTCCTTTCCTTAAAGCAAACAGCTCTTTTTTTCCCCCATCGATTGCCATTCAACTCTGAAGATAAAGTTTTCTCCTCCCATCTCTCACCAAAATGAAGTTATTTGCCCATCCGAGAAAACAGATCTCTCTATTGTAAAAGCTATTCTGTTGGGCAAGTGAAAGAGAAAACGGCCATCAGCTGATCTCTGTCCCTGCACTCTGTCCCCTCTACTTCCTTTGATCGACACCAGTTATTTCTGAGTAAGTGAGGTTTATAAACAAAGGCGTTGGTAATTCCTCGTGAATCATTTTGGATTTTTTTTTCTTGAAGAAATTTTTTTTTTCCTGCTAAGAAAAAAGGTCCCAATAGTTAAGTGCAGCTAGGGGCACAATTTTATTTCTGGCTCTTGTCTCCTGTGAAAAAGAAAAGAGACAAGAAGATACTAAGAATTCGATGTAAGAGGAGAAGTGAGTGAAGAAACCCCCAAATACACTGAGTTGTTTTTTTTTTTTTTTGCTAGAGCCTTTAAAAAAGTACAAGGACTTAGAGTTCTTAATTGGTATATATTAAAAACGAAAGAGAACAGCTGAGATTATGTAAGGAGATTTTTTTCCCCGTTTATTGTTGTTTGAATTGTAAATCAGTGTAATATGGTTAGAGAGCTGGGAAACAATGTCTACAAGAGAACAAACAACTTGGTGTTGTAAGTTCTGTAGAAGCAAAAATACATCCGTAAAGAGCTATTCGCTACAGTGTTTTCTTCAGTGCCTCCAATAAACAGAACTCAACATTTATTATGTCAATAAATGTTATGGAGCTGCTACACAGCAAGTGTGAAGTTCTCCTGGAGACACTGAGAAATACAGAAACAAATAGCAATGATGCTGGGACTACAGAGTCACAAAACAAGGCATCCACGCTGTGAAACCCTTTGTGTTTTCAATTGATGGGCTTTTTAAACATAAAAAGAAATTTGACAACAGAAATTTTGTGTTTGTTAAAGAATGGAATTTGTTGCAGATTTTGTCCTTGTAAGCTTTGAAGTCAGCCCCGGAGAGGAGAGGTGATGGCTGGGAGGCTCCTAGACCCAGGCTCCAGGTCCTTGTACCTGCTGTCTGCTCAGAGATGATTTCTCTTGACCTTCATCTCCACCATTGGAGAATCACAGGAGAATGATGCAATTATTTCCCATGAATATTTGGAATATCAAGTGAGATAATCCACTCCACATGTGTTGTGTGGATAGCATCATTCAACAAGTGCCAGCCCACTCTGCCCTGCCACACTGGGAAACCTCAGATCCACCCTGCAGGTGCACGGCCAGGCCACTCTTCCTCTGATGCAGATTCTCCTCTGCTGCTTTCCCCTTTTTCCTTGCAGCTGTTGCCCACAGCAAGTCAACCTTTCTTTGCAGACTTTCAGGTTGATGCAAATGGACTCTAATCTCAACTGAGAAGTCAAGCTGAGATTTCAGCAGCACTTAGTCCACCTGTCACCTGTCACTTGTCCTCTTGCCTAAAGGATGACCCCTGTGGTTCTTCTGCTCACTTTGCACTTCTTAAGGCTCCCTTTCTCAACCTCCCACAGCCCCCTCACCTCTTTGTGATTCTCCAGCTGCTCACCAATCACTCATTCTGTAAAATTGTGCATGCCATCATATATCTTCTCATACAGTTTAGTGGTACTGATTTAGCAATCGTATTAAACTGTGCTAATTTACATTAGAAATGAAGATGACCTCTCTGTTACTATTGCCAACCCTTAGTCTTCATGTATTTAAAAACACTTTAACAATTCTTGTGTTTATATTGTACTGCTGGTACACTTTCTACAAATAAAAACAAAATCACAGAATAGCATTTAATCAAATAAATTGGTACACAATCAGCTCTGATTTATAAATGATTATTTACGTCAAACAACTTTACGCCACATATATGTCCCATTTTGATTCTGGTTCCTAGCATGTTTAGCTTTTACTTCAAACTTGTTGTCACAGTACCCCAAACCATTCCTTGTCCTTCACATCTGTGGCTTTATAGTCTGTCATTTCCTCTCCTAGAGAAATACAAAGCCAGCCCCAGCCTCTCACTGTTTTCTGTATGAATATAGGACTTTTGTAAGAACTGTATCTACTACAAGTATACACTTAATTTTATTCCTCTAGACAATCTGTTTTTCTAAATTTTGAATTTTAGAGCTGAAATATTCTAGAAACTATTATTACATTCAAAATATTACATTTTTTAACAATATGGAGTCTCAGAGAGAGCGATTTTCCTCTATTCTACAAATAACCAGCCCCAGTGAAAGTACAGTTATTCAAGTCCCATAATTCTAATTTTCTCCACAGCGCTTTCCACAAGCTCATCGTCTATAAATAGCTACTCTTGTTTGCTCATTTTCTGTCTCTCCCACTTGACATATGACATGGGAGGGCAGGGAGTTCATTTTGCTTATTACTACAACAAAGTGTACTAAATGACTTAGAAACTTGTAACTCTTGGTTGAAACAAGTTCAGTAGGTCATTTTTTGGGCAATATAAATTTCCTGGGTTAATGTAACTTATCACCTTTTCTATTTTATCTCTTTTTTTTAATGAAAAAGAACAGTTGTTTTAAATGACACTCTTGCTGAAATATCCAGTGTACATTAACACTGTGTAATGATTTTTAAAAAAATATTAGAGAGTCAGATATACAGAGGGGAGAAGAGATAGAGAGGCACTGTATAATGATTTTAAGTGATTAACAGCAAATGTTACTTGATGGAATTTGTTCATCTAAATGACACCTCTAAGGAGTTCTGATGACCAAACAAAACTATCTAACCCTTCTACTCCTTTTTGAAATACATGGGTGATTTTGAAATAGACAATTTCATCTGTATTTATAAATTGGTAAAAACTAACTTTTCCAGTTGGTGGCTATTATCTGGTAGGATGAGGGTCTCAGAAAAGAAGGTGACAGGTTACTGGTTAATTAGAGGTGTTGAATGACACAATGGAGAACAAGTTTACCAGTGTTGAACATGTCCAACCATCACCATGAGATTTCATGTGAAATAAACCTCAGAAACAATATTGAGAAACTTAAGACAATGAGATGGTCCAGGTTACAGAAACTTAGGATTAACTCTAAAACCGGAATTGTAAAGTAGATATTTAACTAGAGGATAGGAAGTTAAATCTATCATGCTTAACTCTGAATAAAATTAAATGCAACATAATTCTTCTGAATCATATTGAGTTTCAGGAGTTGCAAAATCTCAGGTACTCATTTATTATGCAGGAGTGATGTGTAGATTTGAGCAACTAAGCTGTAGCTTATTGTAATTCCCTTTATTAAAAATGTCATCTGTCACCCTTGAACTCTGTAGTTACTATGAAAAATGGATTCATCATATGCCATGTAAATTCCCCTGAACTGTGAACACTAAATGCTGACACTTCGACAAAAACTATGGCTAACTGAATGTTACATTTTTTATTAAGTTTAACAATTTACAAACCTGACATATTTTTACTTAAAATGATATTTGTCACTTTTCTAAAAGAGATCCTGCCATGCATAATGCCTGAGGATCTGTTCTCAATGTCTCATTGGAAACAAGTGAAAGTCCATAAATTGTGTCATAAATCCACATAACAGGTGCCAGACAGCTGACAACCACACTCCTAAGTGCTTTGTCTCTGTGCCCTGACACTAAAGCCATTAGAGTTTTGATGAAAAGACCTCTTTTGAACTTTTCCAGCTGGCCTTTAAGCTTCTTCATTTTCTTTTTCTATTCAATAAGTTTTCTTTCCCCTAGGATAACAAAGAATCCCATCTTCAATTAGCCCTCCTTAAATGCACAGGGCTGCTTCTCTTAAAGACAAAGCTTGAAACCAGTGCGGGTCACAGCTGGAACTTGTGCTTGATAATGGTGGGTGTCCCTTTAGCTTTGAGGACACCTTTCTTGTTTGAGGAAAGTTTGAAACTAGCAGAGAAGGTTCTTGGTACCACTTAGCTTGTAAACTTTTATTTACTCAAAATGAAGTTCAGCATGGGAATTAGCTAAGCTGTGATTCAAATACACAACTACTTTCAAAAACTGGGTATCATCCTTTAATGTGCAGAAAGATTGTAGAATTCTGGAATACTAGGAAAGGATGAAGAGTAACTTGATCTTTATGCAGATGTTTAAGAAATCTTGTCCCTTTAGTAAGTACCATGATTGGCTACCTACAACCACCAGCAGGATCAAAGTATTTACAGTGAAAACCTAGAACTAAAACTAAAGAAGACATCAGTATTTCTATGATTGGATGGTCTTAAGCTTTTCATTGCATTAGAATCTTCCATAGGAGAATCTTTGCAAGTTTGTAGAATATGGTCCTCTGGCTCTTGAAGTCAGATTGGATTCACTATTTACTGACCACCACCTGGTGCGAAGAAGATGCCAACTTGGCTCTAACAGCACCCAGGAGTTGGCTAAAGGGAGATGGCTCAGGCGCACAGATAGCGTGCACAAACCAGAGATTGGCAAGTGCTGTTAGACACTGATAATGAGCTGTCGAGTTCACAAGAGTGAGGGATTACTTTAACCTGAGGGATCAAAGACACATTCATGGAAAAGAT